CAGAGAAGGGCAACGGAGCTGGGGCAGGGTCTGGAGCACAGGTCTGCTGGGGAGCGGCTGGGGGAACTGGGGGGGTTCAGTCTGGAGAAGAGGAGGCTGAGGGGAGACCTCCTGGCCCTCTGCAACTCCCTGCCAGGAGGGGGCAGAGAGGGGGGATGAGTCTCTGGAGCCAAGGCCCCAGCGCCAGGCCCCGAGGGAATGGCCTCAAGCTGCCCAGGGCAGGGTCAGGCTGGCTCTGAGGAAGGATTTCTGTGCAGAAGGGGCTGTTGGGCGTTGGAATGGGCTGCCCAGGGCAGGGGGGAGTCCCCGGGATCCCTGGAGGGGTTGAAGAGTCGGGCTGAGCCAGCGCTGAGGGATCTGGGGGAGTTGGGAACGGTCAGGGTGAGGGTCATGGTTGGGCTGGAGGAGCTTCAAGGGCTTTTCCAACCCAGATGATTCTGGGATTCTGTGAGATCGCCAAGGTTAATGCCTCACCCCCGCCGGCCCTCACGCTTTGCATCTGAGATGTTTATTAATTTGGGGCTCCGCGACCTCGTTACAGCTGCATGAAAAGCCAAGGGCGGTTTCAGTGGGTCCTACAGGGAGGTTTGGAGAGGGGAATTTGGGTGGACATTTTGGTGGTGTGGGGACACCAGGGGTAGCATGGGGACATCTGGGTAGGTTTAAACACCGGTCCCTCACCCCGGCTGCTCTGTCCCCTCTCCATGCAGAGACGTGTGCTGTGAACAACGGGGGCTGCGACAGCAAGTGTCACGACGCGGCCACGGGTGTGCACTGCAGCTGCCCCATGGGCTTCATGCTCCAGCCTGACAGGAAGACGTGCAAAGGTAGGTGGGTGCAAACGGGGCTGGGGTGCTCACTCTTCACCCTTGGGTGCCTCAGGCCCCCCCTCGTGTCCTCAGTGCCCTTACAAAAGGCTCAGTTTTAGCTCAGCTCGATGTTGCCCGCAGCGTTTGCTTGCTTGGTGTCTGCATCCGTGGGGTGGGGATGGGGATCAGCCCCAGGCATGGGAACTCCTTGCTAAAGGCACACGGTCAGCCCTGCTCCCCTGGAAGCCTATGGGGAGGAGAAAACAGGGCTCAGGTCAAGTCAGAGGTGATGGCATGTGGGGCTGGAGGGTCCAGTCCTGCCTCACTGCACCCCGCTGCCTCAGTTTCCCCATGGGTAGGGGCGGGGCGTTCTGGAAATCCACAGCCACTCTGGCAAATTGAGATGCACGAGTCCCTCTGTGGTGACTGTCCAGCTGGGTCCAAGCACTTTGTCCCACTCGGGGAGGACACCACAGGACACTACACGTCTCTGCACGCTGCCACCGACATCCCCACCCACCTGCCTCTACAAGGGGAGAGGTCCAGACGGGTTACCCCAGCCACCCCAAACCTGCCCCCCACCCCAGGCAGGGGGACGCCGTGACCCCGGGACTGCCCGGCGCCTGCGTTGTGTCTTTCAGCAGCTCCGGGAACTTGACCCCGGTTGAAAGGAAAAGCCCGTCCCGCTGCCGGCTGCCTGTCTACCTGCTGACTGCTTCCAGAAACCCCCCTGTCCCTGTTATTTTATCAGAGCATCCCCCACACACACACACTTCTCCAATTCTGCAGTTTCCAGGAACGTGCAATAACCCAGAGCCACGTCTCCTGTGTCTGGGGGTTTTATTACGGCTGCGGGCTGGTTTACAGCTCGCTCCCTCGCAGTCGTAAAAAGAAAGCCCCAGCCCTAGAGAGGCAGAGCTGCTGCCCCAGCGCTGGCGGCTGGGGGATGGAGGGACAGGGAAGGCAACTGCCTCTTCCTGGTCTCCTTCTATTTTACAGGTCATTTCCTAGCAGTAAATTTTGTGATTAGAGGAAAAAGGGGGGAAAAAAATAATCAAAACCCACAAAAAAAAACAAGTCTCAGCTTCATTCCAGGTTGTTGGGGCTCTTTGTAGTTATTGTCCATCATAATTTTTAGCTTTGTTTATGGCAGGAAGGAGACAACAAGCAGAGAGGTGAAGGTTGAAAAGTATTTATTTTGTCGAGCGGCTGTTTTTGAAGGAGAGGGTTTCCCCTCCTGGTTTGCTCTTTCTTCCTGCTGCTCCTGGTCCCCAAAAGTAGCCCCCAGCCCAAACCTGGGACTGCAGACTGGAGCTGCGAGGCCCTTTCAGAGACCGTGACTCCGGGCTTTGCTCTGGGGGATGCTGAGACCTGCAGAAATTAAATGTTTCACACAACTTCTAAGGGGAGCCGAGCCCGGGAGCTCCGGCCTTCCCCAGTGTCCCCATTCGGCTCCCCAGATAAAACCAGCAGCCACATTCCCCCAGTGGCCGTCAGAGCTCAAAGTGTTTCCTCCCTTCACGGTTCCTGGTGGGGCCGGGGGGTCTGGAGGGGAGGACTCCGCTCTCCCAGCCCAGCATCCCACCGGGGTGTGACACGTGTCCCTTGTCCCCTCCCAGACATCGACGAGTGCCGGCTCAACAACGGCGGCTGCGACCACATCTGCAGGAACACGGTGGGCAGCTTCGAGTGCAGCTGCAAGAAGGGCTACAAGCTGCTCATCAACGAGAGGAACTGCCAAGGTAAGGGGCGGCGGGACCCCGCACCCTGCTCTGCCCAGGGCCATCGCCTCCCCAGCCCGCTGGTGTTTCTCAGCCCTACCACAGCTGCTGCTGGAGGAGTGCTGGCCCGGTTACTCATTCCTCTTTGCTTTCCTCTGGATCGCCTACATCCTTCGGGGGATTAGTGTTGGATTTGGGTTCTGGTCTGGGGTTTAGCCCTTTGATCTGCAGAGCTGGGCTGCCGTCCCAGCCCTGCTCCCGAGTTGGGGATTTCTGGGCTCTTCTCGCGGCAGAGTTAAAGCCAGCAATTAGATAGATGCCAGGTGAAATCCTCCAGCCTTAGTCAGGGCTGGGATTACGGTCCTGTCGCTCCCTGCAGCCCCGTGGGCTGCGATGCAGCTCTGCCCGGGCACAGGGAGCTCTGCCCCCCACCAGCGAGCACACCCCCAGCCCAGGGCTGCCAAGGGACCCGGGACCCCAGCAGCTCCTGGCACCTCTGGGCTCCTCCCAAACTTCTCCGTTTTAACTCACAAAGTTTTTGCTAGCGATCCCGCAGCAGCACAACTGTAGCTCCCTGCTGAAGCAGATGCACTGACACACCAGCTGCTTCCTTCCCTCGCTCGGGTGCCGCCGTTTTCCTGGGCTGGGTGATGGGAAGAGCAGCGGGATGTCTCCTGCCTTGCCTCTCCCCCTCCGCCAGCCGCCCCACAGCAGGGGCTGGATCATGCCCTGCTCGGGGACACGCTGTTTTTGCAAGCTGTCAAGGCAGAACAAGGATTTCGGTGGCTTTTGTAAAAAGATTCTTTCTTCCTCCATCTGTTGGAGGGCAGGAGGGGAGGGGGAAGATGCATCCTGCTCGTTCCAGAGGGAACTGGCTGCTCCACGCTGCTTTTCCCACCTTTTTCTCCCTCTCCCAACATCCCACCTAAACCCAGTGGGTTTAAATGACCCATCAAGTTGCTGGGACATCCCGGGGGGAGCACGGGGCTCTGCCCCCTCAGCCCACGGCCGAGGCCAGCACCATGGGTGTGCATGAGCCCAAGTGTTGCCTCCCAAAAGCGTGCAGCCCGGGAAGGAGGGGGCTGGTGTTCTTCGGGGCTGCGACCGCTTTCATCTCCATCCAGGTTCTGTGCTCTTGGGAGTTTGACGCGAGCGCGGCAATTAACTTAATGAAGCCAATGAAATGATGCTCAAACGCGCCAGGTTGGGTTCACTCGCCTAGCCAGGGCCTCCCTGCCCCGGCAAGGTGCCCCGCGGGGCTGAGCAGACATCGCTGGCACCGTCCCCGGGGCAGGACCTGCCCGCACAGCATCCCTCCCTGGCACGGCACAGAGCCCTGGCCGGGCAGCAGCCAGGGGCTCTCACAGCCGCCCCGTGCCAAGGACACAGTGCTGGCCCCGTTTGAGGTGCAGAGGAGCTGCAGGAGCTTGGGGTGGGGGGGATGCTGGTGCAGTGGGCTGCTGCTTCTGTGTAGAAGCAGCTGGAGTGGACAAGGAGGGAGCAGGTAGGGTGGGAGAGCGAGGTCCTGGACCATCCCGGTGCTGGGTCCCAGAGCGTCCTGGTGCAGTATCCCACAGCATCCCAATGCAGCCCTCCCCTTGCTGGAGCAATTGGAGCCGTAAGGGGACAGCCCTTGTGCCCAGGGCTGCCCCTCCACCGTGCCAGCCCTCACCTCTCCCCATTGCCTTTCCTGCAGACATCGACGAGTGCTCCTTTGACCGGACCTGCGACCACCTCTGCATCAACACCCCCGGCAGCTTCCAGTGCCTCTGCAACAAGGGCTACACGCTGTACGGGCTCACCCACTGCGGAGGTAGGGCTGGCTGGGTGCTGGCAGGAGCAGCCCATCACCCTGCCAGGTTCAGGTCCCAGGGAGGCACATGGCGCACCCAGGGATGGGGCAGCCCCATGGCACAATTGCTGTGGGACCCCTGGGGATGCTGCTCACCCCAAGGGCCTACGGGGAGGGTCGGTTCCCCACGTACCCCGAGCTGGGGCCAGGCAGGGAGGGGGCTCACAGCCAGACGCTGGTGTCTGCAACTTCAAACAGAGCGACAGGAACAATTTGCGACTTGTCTGCAGCGGGAGAGAGGGAGAAATCCCCGACGTTTTTGGCAGGGAGCTAGGACAGGGTGGGAAGGGAAACATCAAAAGGGTTTGATTTAAGTTTCACAAGGCAGATAGCTCCCAAGGGCGGGGGCGTGCGGCGCCCCGGGAAGCGGGGAGGCAGATGAAACACGCTTTGGCGGGGGCTGCTGGAGCGTGTCGCGGCAGCGGTGCCGTCGGCCCGGCGAGACGGCAGCACGAGGCTGGGTGCTGCGGCACTGCCCGGCCGGCGAGGGCGGGCGACCCTCCTCATGCTCCCAAAATACGCAGCCACCGTGAGCCAGCGCGGCCCCCGGGATGCTCTCGGTAGGACCCCGCAGCAGAGGGATTGCTGGCTCCCACCGATGCTCCCAAGAAGTTTGGGGGGCAGCTCCATCCCTGGCCGCTCCCCACCTCCGGCCCTGTTTCATGCCCGACCTGGAGGACCGACCCCCTGTTTCAGGCTGGGGCGGAGGGTCCCCACGGCGGGGAGAGGGGCCGGGGCTGCCGAGCAGCTGCCGTTTGAATTCGGCTGCTAAGTGCTTCCATGTCGGCTCCGTCTGCTGCCCCCCGCAGCTCCCCAGCCCGCCGCAGGGCCCGGGCCGGGCTCAGCCTGGGTGGGCTGCACCCGTCACCGCCCGGCCCTTGGGGACACCCAGAGTCGGGGTTTCCCTCGTTCCCCATTTCCAGCTGGGCACGGGGCGTGCGATTTATCCATCCAAAATCACAACCCTGAGACAACGCAGAGATTCAGTGTCAGAGCTGGGGTGGGGGGGTCCCACTGCCCCTCGCCCACCACCTCTCCCTCTTTCCCCACAGATGTTGATGAGTGCAGCATCAACCGGGGGGGCTGCAAATTTGGCTGCATCAACACGCCCGGCAGCTACCAGTGTACCTGTCCCGCCGGCTGCAAGCTGCACTGGAACAAAAAGGACTGTATAGGTATGGGGGGGCAGGACACACCACGGCTGGGGATGCTCCCGATGCCCCGTGGACCCTCCATCACCTGGGGCTGTCGGGATTAAGGTCAGGGTGGGGGGAGCACGGGGGTTTGGGGTTGTCCCAGTGGTCTGGGACAGGCTTTCGGTTGGGCCCCCATGGCCATCTCGTGGGTCTGGATGGGAAGTGCCATAACGTGTTGCCAGAGGGCTGCCCTTGGTCATCTTGTTGCTTTTTTGACCATTCTTGAGGCTGGCCACGAGCTTTTACACTGGAAAATGTCCCTAAAGGAGCTGTTTTCATGGCCCTGGCTGTGCCCTGGTACCCAACTGCCTCCCTGTCATTGGGGACAGGCTACCCCCCTAAAAAAATTGAAATGCCAGCAGTCACATCTCACATCCCCAAGGAGGAGCTGGGGGGGGTGGGATGCTGATCCGTGCTCTGGCACCCTCTTGTCCCTGGTGAATCCCCCCCTGACCTGGGAGGGCGCAGGGGTCCCTCGCAGGTCCCCAGGCTGTGTCAGCCACGGACATCCCCACTTGTCATCACCAGCTGGCGCGTGTCCCTCAGAGCTGGTGAAATGCCTGCCAGGTTCGGTGCCGCCGCGGGCCACCCTCACCTGCAACAAGACGGGCAAGAAGGACAGCTGTGCCCTCACCTGCGCCTCCAGGGCCCGCTTTCTGCCAGGTACGGCCACCAGCGCCACTGCCAGCACAGGCAGAGGGGTCCCTGTCTCCCTGCATGGCCCAAACATGGTGGGGGAGAGGAGTGGAAAGGTCCCTGGTGCAGGATCCCCATGGAGGGGTGCTGGGCATCATCCCCCCTCGGCGCAGCCGTGCCTCCCTGCATCACCCCAGCAGAGCATCGTGGGGATCAGGCGCCACTCCGGCATCCCCTGAGTGCTATTCCTCCCTCCCACAGAGTCGGACAGCAGCTACACGGTGAGCTGTGGGACCCCCGTCCTGCGGCAGGGTGGCCAGCAGAGACCCTCCAACAGCAGCCAGCAGTGCCTCGGTAAGGGGGTCCCGGGGTCCCGCCGCCACCAGCTGGGTGCCCTGCGCTGGGGTTGTTGAGCACCCGCCTTTTCTTTTAGAGACTGTCGCTGCGCCAATCAAGCAAAAGGCTTCCTTCAAGATCAAGGATGCCAAATGTCACCTGCACCCGCGGGCCAAGGGCAAGCAGGATGAGGCCGGGAAGGCTGGGGCACAAGGTGAGGCATGATGGCAGGAGGGCGGCGGGGATGCCCGTCTCCCCAGGAGGGACAGGGTGCTGACTTGTCCCTGCCACATGCAGGTGGTTCGGCACCCTGCTCCGACTGCCAGGTCGCCTTCGTCAACCTTAAATGTGACTCATCCAAGAAGGGGAAGGGCCGTCGGGCTCGCAACTCCTCTAACAAGGAGGTGACACGCATCACGCTGGAGTTTGAGGCAGAGATCAAACCGGAGGAGATCACAGGTGGGTGCAGGCAGGGGTGGTGGGACCAGGGGGATGGTGGTGGGACCAGGGGGATGGTGGTAGGACAAGGGGGATTATGGTGGGACCAGGGAGATGATGGTAGGACCAGGGGGATGGTGGTAGGACCAGGGAGATGATGGTAGGACGAGGGGGATGGTGGTGGGACAAGGGGGATGGTGGTACGACCAGGGGGATGGTGGTGGGACCAGGGGGATGGTGGTGGGACCAGGGGGATGGTG